AGGAGAGGAGAGGAGAGGAGAGGAGAGAACAGGTCACAGATGAACAACAGAGCCATCTACGGGCTTCAGCACAGAACAGGACTCATGCATACTCAATGAAAGCTGGCTTGTTGCTTAGCAAACTTCGCCCCAAGCCCTGTGTCACTGCACTGCAGGCCGAGCATGCCCCATATCAGAAGAATCAACAAGACCCCAAACTGGGTACATCACATACTGCAACCAACAAGCAACCTGCACAGGAACAAAGCTGAGCACAGCAGGAAGCCCCCAGACTGATACAGGAAGCGTCGAAGCAACAGTTAAAAGTCCAAACAGCCTGGACTCCTTTGGATGAGGCTAACACTAACCTATGCACCAAGCAGCAGCTCCTTCCTGCTTTTATCACAGTCTCTAGCAAAGTGACCTGGGAGCTACCAAGTCACCTGCCTCTATAAGCAAATCAGCTTAAATACAATCTAGAAATCTAAAGATGAAAGAAAATATATCTACAGACGATTTCAATTAAAGGGGTCCAACTGTTGCCAGCTCTCTTGGATACAGAAAGCTTTTCCCTCCCTTCTAAGTTTCTCTGCTGCCCTAATCCCTGGAATGTCATCTTTTCATCCTTAAGTACACATTTTTTTCTCTCCCAAAATACAAACTGAAAAACTGCACAGACTGTGGGATAAAACTCAGTGGTATAGTTGGTTACCCTGTGCAAGGCCCTGGGTTCTAGTTCCAGATGGGGCTATTGGTTTTTTTAGGGGGCGGGGGGGGTGAGACAGAGTCTCACTGCGCAGTTCAGGCTGATGGGAGAACTCACTATATAGCCCAGGCTGGCCTTAAGCTTACAGAAATCCTCCTGACTCAGCCTCCCACATACTGGGATTACAGGCATGCACCACCACACCCAGTCTCAGTTGCCATCTCAGCGTGCCCCAGGGGCGGAGCTGGCAGGGCTGGGGATCCAACCTAGGTCTCTGTGTCTACCTAAGCAGGCACTTCAGTCCACTGATCTATCTGGCCAGCCCTTCAACATATTATATTTCTAATGCAAAACGCAAGAACTTCCTGGAATTCAAATGAGAAAATGTATTGATTTTTTGCTTTAAGTATTAACATGCCTGGGGCTGGTGAGATGGCTCAGTGGTATAAAGCACCTACTTAGAACAAGCTTAACAAAGCACAGGGACCGCGGTTCAATCCCCTAGCACCACATGCCAGCCAGCCCCGCCCCCTGGTGGGCTGAGCTGGCCACACACACACACACACACACACACACAAATAAATAAAATTAAAAAAAAAAAGTATTAACATGCCTTTAATGATCAGTTATTATTTTTACTACCAACTATATACAGCTTAATAAAAATAAGGGAACTACAAGCAATATATTTCATCCTAACATTTAACCTTTGAAAATTCTCAAGAGGGCTAGGGGTATAGCTCAGGGATAGAGTGCAGGGAAGACCTGGGTTCAATCCCCACAACTGCAAAAACAAAAATCTCTCAAGGATATACATAGTAGTAAGAGTATAACTGGGTTCACCCAAAGCACTAAAAAGCCTGGGAAACATTTGAGACTGTGCTTGCTCTGATTCCAACAAACAATGGGTGGGTTCTGTCTTCTTACCATCTCCATTGTGTTTACTTAGTTTAGTATAACCTGGTGCCATAAAGCTATAGCCAGCAGTTTAAGGATAAAGGGCACTGCAAAGGCTAGAGTTGCTGTGGGAAGGAAGGGTCCCACACTGCCCATACAAGGGCAGCAGCCCTGGCAGGGGACTCGGGCCCAGCCACCGAGGCAAGGGGGGCTGGCCAATGGCTTCCTCGTCCTACTCTCTGCTCATGGACAGAGAAACCCTGTCCCCCACCCCACCACACTCCTTTATCCCATTGATGCCCCCCGCCCCCTGCCCAAGTGCTGAGTAGGCTGCTGAACAGGACAAATGTGTAATCAAATCTTATTCAGGAGACCCAGTCCTACTCCAGGCCCGGTGAGTGTGTGGGAGAGCTTCCGGCTACCCTGTGCCAGTGGGACCTACTGGTCCCAGCCCAGGCGCAGCATGGGTGAGACCCTCTTCCACCCCCTTGGGATGCCCACCACCACTCCGCAGCATCTCCCCTACCCCGCCTGCCCAGTAGGAATTTCTGCTGCATTCTGGGAACCCCCAGATCCAGTCCTAGCCCAGGCCCAATGAGTGTGTGGAAGAGCTTCCGGCTACCCTGTGCTGGCATGACCTACTGGTCCCAGCCCAGGTGCAGCATGGGTGACACCCTCTTTCACCCTCTTGGGACACCTCCCATCACTCTGGAGTACCCCCACACACACCCCGCCCACAGAGTAGGAATTTCTGTCACATCTGGGAACCCCCAGATCCCGTCCTAGTCCAGGCCTGGTGAGTGGGTGGGAGAGCTGCCTCTCCCCCCTACTTCACCTTGTTCCCTCCAGACTCAGCTCAGGCCTGGCATACAAGCCTGGGGTGAAACCCTTCAGTTGCAATCCCTGCAGAGAGTGTAGGGGACAGAACCACCCAGCAAGTCCAGGAGCAGAACATCTTGCCAGAGGGGCACAACAGGTTCACACCCAAGGGTAGCAACAGGAAGGAACTGAGCACAGCAGCCAGACCCAAACCAGGCACAGCTGGATAAATCCAAACTTTGTAGATCTACACCTGAACTTCAGTAGGTGCTAAGGCTATAACTGCAACGAAGATCTACAACAAAGGTCAGAAGACAGTGCTACAGAAAATGACAACAAGAAGGAGGAAAATGCAATCTCAGAACCCAAGCCCACCCATAACAAGTGCAGAGGACACTAACACAGAGCAAACTGGGAATCACACAGCTGAAAGCAATGAATCAACGGCTTCTGAAATAAAGAAACAGCTGCAGAAAGGTATAGAGGAACTCAGATTGGAAATGAAAAAAGAAATCCCTGAAATAATAACATCTGCACCAAGGAATCAAATGCAGAAACTTATGGAGGAAACCCAATGACTACCCATAACAAGTGCAGAGGACACTAGCTCAGCTCAAATGTATGAATTAATAGCGTCAATAGTAAATAAGCAACAGCAGAAAGTCATAGAGGAACTCAGAGCGGAATTCTTTTCTACTAGCTCAGCTCAAATGTACAAATTAATAGCGCTGATAGTAAATAAGCAACAACAGAAAGTTATAGAGGAACTCAGAACGGAATTCTAGCTCATCCCAAATGTACGAATTAATAGCATTGATAGTAAATAAGCAACAGCAGAAAGTTATACAGGAACTCAGAGTGGAATTATTTTCTGAAATAAAAAAATCTTATTCAGTTGGCCTCGAGCAGTACATACCCAGTCGCATACATTTCCTCTTCGTCTACATCAGAGTCCTCTGAAGATGACATAGCAATGTATCGTGGAGTATCATCTGAGAAGATAATAGTTCATTTGTACCCTGAAAATTCATACCATCACCCACCTGACAAGAAGATAAATCTGGAGGAACCCCCACAGCCAAGCACAGAGCAACAGCTACCAGTCATACTACTTTACACTACTGCGGAGTGCCTTTATCTATGGAGATTGCAGAGCCTCTGGCAATGTGACCCAGGTAGGATTTTATCATAGGTACCAAGCACTGTCCTGAGGGTCCATGAATGCATCTTAGAGGCCATATTGCAAGCACAACTACACTGCATGCAGTCTAAGGAATGGTATGGCAGCTCACACATGCAACGTGGAGTGGCCAATAGCCTTGGCTGCAACTTCATCTAACATGCAAGTAAGTTTTTTACCTCCATCTAGGACCCATACTGCCAATAACTCTAGCCAGAGACTTAGGAATGAACAGTTAGTGTCACTCATTCATTTATTTAAAAATTTAGGCCTGAGGATGTAGTTCAGTGGTACAACACCTACCTAGCTAGTATGAGGCCCTGGATTTGATTCTGAGTACCAAAGGAAAAAAAAAAGAAGAAGAAAGAAAAGACCAAAATTTTCTTTTTCTTTTTTGTGGCCAGCTCAGCCCACCCTGGAGGTGGGGCTAGCGCTGTATGTGGTACCAAGGATCGAACCGTGGTCCCTGCACTTTGCCTGAGATTGCCTAAGCAGGCACTTTAGACCACTGAGCCATCTTGCTGACCCCAAAAATTTCTTAGATGCATGCTAATCACAGGATGCTCCATGACGAAATGACTAAAGGCCTCCCATGAAGAGGTTACTAGTAGGGGACAGATTCAGAACCATGCTACAACACAACATGACTGGTGCTTCAGAGGCGTGCTCCAGGGAGGAGTCATTCTATTAACTCACAACTTCAAAGAGGACCTAACAATTGGACTAGGATTTAAGAAAAACAGGATACAGTGCTACCTCAACTCATGAACTTAATTCTTTCCATGATTCTGGTTGCAAAACAAATTGGACAAGAACTGAATCAAAGGGCCAGGGAGATGGCTCAGTGGAATAAGCACTTCTCTGGCAAGTGCAAGGGCCTGAGTTCAATCCCCAGTTCCGCAAAAAAAAAAAAAAAAAAAAAAAAAAAAAAAAAAAACTGAATCAAATTTCCCCATAAGGTCAGCATTATACTTAACCACTGAATTTGATTTAGTTGTTGTACAATTCAGTTTGTGACCAGAATCATGGAAAGAAATTCATAAACCACAGTACCAGTGTGTCCTCCAGACAAAAGGTGTAGGGAGATGGTAGGGGGAGGGGACACACAGAACAATAAATACTAAGACATGGGAACATTAGAAAGTCTGTAAATGTGGGTTTCCCATTTCCAGAAAAATCCCAGTGAGGGTTGGCTGCTTTCCTTCACAACTAGGAAGTTACTATAATGGCTAAGTACTGGCAAACAGGATGGGCAGGCATGAAGAGCCAGACATACTGAGCAGAAAAGCTGTGGTGGGCACAATTGTAGGCTGGGCACATTTGGTGAGATAGGTGCACCTAGTATACTGGCTTACCAGGTAATGTGTATATGTTATTTGTTTTACGTTTCCTTTTCCTTGGTTGGTCTGCCACAGGTATGGGCTCTTCAGTAGTTGACAATACTTGATTTCTAATTTCTAGGTTATTCTCAGAATTATTTGGTGGCTGATTGAGATTTTCACCAAGATCCAGCATCTCATGAACATCATCAGGTGGAACATCATCAGGTGGAACATCATCACGTGGAACATCATCAGGTGGAACATCATCACGTGGAACATCATCAGGTAAATTATGCTGGAAGACAAAACAATTATCTACTTCTACTTTATGTGAATAAACTTGGTTGTGGTCATGCGAATCCCGTTTGTTTAGCTCAGGAATTTCCAAACTGTCATCATCAATAATTATTACTGGAGACTTCTGGATCTCGGTGGTAGGCTCCTCCTCACTATCAGAAATCACTTCCAAAAGTTCATCTGAAATTCAAGGGAAATGACACTTACAAATATACTCCTTACACACTGAATATCAGTAGATTATTGAGTACAAGTTAAACATGCTAGAAACTGGGACTATAAGTTACAGTTAAGGATCATAGATTGTTATCACTCTATTTCTTTTTTATATTACTAAGAATAGTGATAGATAAAACAGCCCCCGGGGGGCCAGGGAGATGGCTCCGTAGAATAAGCGCTTCCCTGGCAAGTACAAGGGCCTGAGTTCAATCCCTGGTTCCGCAAAAAAAAAAAAAAAAAAAAAAAAAAAAAAAAAAAAACCACCAGGCCAGATATACTGGCACATGCCTATAGTCCCAGCACTCAGAAGGTTGAGGTAAAAGGATTGCTCTGAGTTTGAGGCCAGCCAGGGATACAGTGAATTCAAGGCCAGCCTGAATTACATAGTGAGACCCTGTCTCAAGAACAGCAACAACAACAAAAAACAAAACCCACCAGCAATCATAACCATGTTTATAGCAGCACAATTCATAATATCTAATTCATAATATATGGGCTTCTTTGAAACAGCCCATATATCCATCAACAGATGAATGGATAAAGAAAGTGTGTTATTTACACTACTCTGTCACAAATAAGGATAAACATGAGTCATTTGTAAGAAAAAGGATGCACCTTGAGACCATAATGTTAAGAGAATTCAGACACAAACAGTTCACAGTCATTCTTATATGATATATAAAATATAAATAAAGAGCAAAATAAGAGATAGGCAATAAGAAACAGGGAAATAGATCTTTGTAAAAGGCAAAAGGACTGCCTAGCATAGTAGTTCACACCTGTAATGCCAGCACTCAGGAGGCTGAGGCAGGAAGACTTCCATCCTGCCATGAATTAAAGGCCAGCCCGCACTACATAGTGCAACCCTGTCTCAAAAATAAAAGGGGAGGGCTGGTGAGATGGCTCAGTGGTCTAAAGCACCTACTTAGAACAAGCTAAGCAAAGCATAGGGACCGCAGTTCAATCCCCCAGCACCACATGCCAGCCAGCCTCGCCCTCTGGTGGGCTGAACTGGCCACACACACACACACACACACACACGCAAAATAAATAAATAAACAAAAAAAATTAAAAAAAATAAATAAAAGGGGAAAGGGGACCAAAAGAGGGGAGTGGGAGGGAAAAGAGATGAAAAAATCTTAAGATGTGTTATGTACAGTCACCAACTTCTCCCAAGAGGAATGTAATCATGTATAGTAATCAGGCACTAATAAAAAATAAAGATTGAAAAAAGAAAGATAAAATAGCAATCAATGTATAATGGAAGTTTTCAGGTCTAAACTTGTATCCTCAACAAAAATAGGAGAAACAAGACTAACAATATAGTGTTTCCTTCAAATCAAGTTAAATCTCTATAATTCAAAGATTAACCTTCAGTTAATTACTATGTCTTGGCTAAACTTTCAATCCTTTATGCAACTATGGAGACAGGAGATGGTAGTTAGCATGTATGTATGCATGTATGCATGCATGTATTGACAGATTGATTGGCTGGGGAGTTTTTTGTTTTTTGAGGCAGGGTCTTCTTATGTAGTAGCCCTGGCTGGCCTCAAATTTGCTGTAATCCTCTTGCCTCAGCCTCCTGAGTGCTGGGATTACAGGCATGCACCACCATGCCTGGCTAGCTAGCATGTTTTAAACCATCATCTCCTCTCAAATCTCCATCCAAATGGACAAAAGGCAGAGCCCACACTTCTTACTCCTTTCTTCATTAATCCCATACCTAGAGAGGGAAAGAGAGGAAGAGGGAACAGCAGAGTGGCCTGCATACTTTTGAGTCTCAGCTCTCAACTTTGTCCCCTCTGCTGTTTTGGTGTAGTTCTAGACAGTTAAGAGCACTAGCAAGAGGAGCACCCAAGATCCAAGGCAGCAGGGAACTAACCCAAGCACAAGCACATCCACAGTCTGCATGGATGAGGGGTAAAATGGTGGCCCTTGCTAGCCAGTCATTCCAAACACAGAGTAAGGACCCTGACCCTGAAACTGCTATGCATGATGAGGCTTTGGAGTTTAGCTATCTTAGCTACTAGGGAGCAGTATACTTGCCTTCACTATTTATTTCATACACTTTAATTTTCCTTTTTTTATACGCATATTCATCATCAGATTCGGAGTTGATGACAATTGGCCTGAGTGATAAAATAGGAAAAAAGTGATAAATAGGAATGCAACATTCTCTTCATAACACTTTCTACAATGAACATGAGTATTTATCAACTTTTGGTTTGTTTCCCACAGTAACTCTATTCCTTTAATTAAACTACTCAATCTTTCCATTATTCTTGCTTTTCCATCTTTCTTTGCTTTCTGTTAGTGCATGTTTGCAGTTCACACCAGTTACAATCACCTTGGGCAGTGCACATACGTACATACCACAGCTTGCCTTCCTAGTCCCCTCCCTCCTCCTCTAATTCCCCTAACCCCATTTTCGTTCTTGTTGATATTAATCTTAGCTCTTATTTAGGGTCTATAATGTTTACCGTCATTGAAGTGATCAGGTTCCTGTACATGGCATACCTCTATTCTATTTATTTCCCTTCTCCTCCTCACTCTTGTTCCCTTGGACCACTTCCCAGTTACAAGAGATCCATCCCCTTGTCCCCTTCTATCCATCCTTTGTCATTCTCTTTGGTTGTACTGTCCCTCACTCAAATGAGTTTGTGTGACTGATTTATTTCATTCAACATTATATCTTCTAGGTACATTCATTTTCTTAAAAATGTCTCAAATTGATCCTTCTTTATAGTCGAGTAATATTCCATTATGTAGTTACCACATTTTATCTAATTGTTTGTTGATGGGTATACAGGCTGTTTCCAGGATTTAGCTATTATGAACTGTGCTGCAATAAACATTGGTATTCATGTATTGCTGTAGTAGGATGACTTAAGCTCCTTGGGGAAGATAACTAGCAGGGGGGTCACTGGGTCATATGGAATTTCTAATTTCAGTTCTTTGAGAAATCTCCATAATGATTTCCATAGTAGTTATACTAATTTACGTTCCCACCAACAAGGTAGGAATGCTTTTGTTTTTGTTTTGAAACTGGGTCTGGCTATGCAAGTCAGGCTGGCCTTGGCTCACTTTGTAGCCTAGGCTGGCCTTGAACCCCAGCAATCCTCCTGTCTCAGCCTCCCAAGTGCTAGGACTATAGGCATGTACAACCATGCCTGGTTGTCATGGTTATTTTTCTCTTGTTGTTGAGACCAAATACCTGACACCCAAAATGAAGGAAGGAAAGGTTTTTTTAGCTCACAGTTTGTGGAAGTTTCAGTCCATACTCAGCTGACTCCAAGGTAGAGTGGTACATGACAGAGGGCAGCAGTTCACAAGGGTAGAAAAGAGCAAAACATGGGCTGGAGAGATGGCTCAGTGGTCTAAAGCACCTACTTGAAACAAGCTTGTCAAAGCACAGGGACTGTGGTTCGATCCCCCAGCACCACATGCCAGCCAGCCCCGCCCCCTGGTGGGCTGAGCTGGCCACACACACACACAATAAATAAATGTAATAAATAAATAATTTTTAAAAAAAAGTTATTTAAAAAAAAAGAAAAGAGCAAAACAGCAAGAGGAAAAGGAAGAAGTAGCAGCAACAACAGCAACAGAGAGCAAGCCTGCCTCCAGGCTATCTGCCCCAGGCCAGGTATAGCACTAACATCCATAATCCCAGCAGCACTCACACCCACAATCCTAGCACTGGATCATCAATTAATCACAAACTCTAGAAGTCTGCCCCATAACTGCATGAGGCTTTGGGAAAACAACTGCACACAAACCATAACACTGGCTGAGGGTTCCTTTTTCACTACAGCTTCATACTCACTTGGGTAGTACAAGCTTATTTTTACCACACAGCCTCACCAGCACTTATTACTGTTCGATTTCTTGATGACAACCATTCTTTCTGGAATAAGATGAAATTCATGCATTGCTTTATTCCCTCTCTCACATACTTTCAAAAGGAGATATCTGAGATCTGATATATCTGATATCTGAGATATCTGATATCTGAGTAACTGGGATCTGTCAGAGAATGTGGATTCAAACAGTTTTGGTACAGGAGAAAAACTGATCAGGAAAGTGTCTAGTGGACTGTCATTATTTTTGCTGTTGTTGTGGAACTGGGGGCTGAACCTAGGGTCTTTGCACTGAGCTATATCCCCCAATTCTTTTTGTTTTTTTTTTTTTTGAGACAGGATCTAGGTTGCTAAGTTACACAGGCTGGGCTCAAACTTGCAATCCTACTGCCTCAGCCTTAAAAAAATGCTGAAATTACAGGTGTGCAACACTCTACCTACCCTGTCATTCTTTGAGAAGGATAGAGAGGCAGAGAAGGAAAGAAGAGCCTCGGAACAGGGAGGCTTTTCCTCACTGATGCTCTGTAGCCTGAAGCCAGAACCTGCTGCTTTTGTGGACAAATGGCTCTGGCAGTAGTCATGCATAGCAGTGGCCCTTTGCCTCCCAGGGCACACGTGATGAACCCCCCTCTGGTCCTTGGCTGACCTCACCATTTGGGTCAGAGGTTCCAGGAGGTTGAAATTTGCTATCTTTTTCTATTTTCCAAATAGTGTATGATAAGTGTGATATACTTTTGTGACAAGAGAGAATACTTACAATGCCTGTTATAGGGCTTGTTTATATCTATTACAGAAAGGAATGTTAATCTATTTCCACCATGTTTACTACTTTTAAACTGCCAAGTTGATGGGCTTTTGTTAACTTATTAACTACTCCAGCTACTTAAACTTCACTCATCTTGATTTTCTGGTACACGGACATTCTTGGTTCTCATCTCACCTTTCCATCCACTCCTATCTACTCACTTGTCTTCCCCAACTCAACCACAAGGTTTACCCATAGCGCTCTTGTGCCAATTCAATTAATACCTAAAAATTGGGTTGCTAATCCTACTATCTATGTGTCAATCAAATGTATTATATCCAGCCCTGCTGGAGATCACTATCAAGTAACTCTGAGCAGAATTTAAATCAACCAATTGGCTTTTCATGTTTATTTGTGAGTCTGTCTAAGGCATGGGCTCCTTGTCTTGAGACGGGCAGCGGACTTGTAGTAAATGAACCTTTGTGAGTCACTGGTCCCAAATGAGGCCTGTAGTGGCCTGTGAAGCCATGATGCCTCAAATGATAAAGCCACAGCCAATGACACTTTACTCCAACCTCAATTAACTAGATAAAGACTGTAGCCACAGGTATCTCATTCCTGTGGTGAAGACCTGCTTGGAAATAACTTAATTCTCCTAAATTAACCTAATGTATTACTCGGAGAAATCCTTGAGGGGACTTCCAAGGTCCTTGAATGGTCCTGCTCAGATTTCTACCTTTCTTTAGTATTTATCTCCTCTGTTTGATGACTAAATCAATACAGGTCACCCAGGGAGGATCTTAGTCTTAGCCCCAAGAAAATCTCAACTCCGCTAGAGGGTTTTGATTCTCCTGGAACCCTAAAATCATACCACTGGACTCTTTTATTTAAACCTGCACTGTACACTTGTTTGGGAGATTGTGGGCCTGATCAGTCCACATAACTAAGGGACAACATTAACGCATTAACTGGTACCAAAACAGGGATGTGAAATCTTTGGACTGGTAAATTTTACCCTGAACAACAAAAAGTTGACCTAGAGTGGAAAGTGTGGGAGCAGAGAAGGCCTTCAAAGGAAGAAACCTTCACCAACAACACATGGAGAAAAGTGGGAAGAGAAGCATTCCACAAGGAATAGGGGTGAGTCTTCCCACTGTGAACAAGCTGTTTTATCTAGAAATAAAATAGGCCAAAATTTTTGATGCAAGGAGCGAAGATACATGCAGTTGCTCCAAAGCTTACTCAAATGCTCAGGGGCTCATGTGCCAACAACAAAAGACCTAAACAAAAATGTTACAAGAGGTAACCAAATATAATCCATGGTTTCCTCAGACAGGCACTATAGATATTGACAATTGAGAAAAAGTTGGTAAAAGTCTAAAAAATGCAAACAGTAGAGGAAAAATAATTTCCCAAGATCTTCAACTTGGAACACGTTCATTCAGTTTTAAATCCGTTGCAGGGCTCACAGTCAATAATCTGTGATTTGGACACAGAAGATAAAAAACAGCTTCTGACAGAGACAATTTGCTGCCAAAGCAGAGTTTTAAAAGGGACCACCTTGTCAGGAGCAGGAGCCTTTAAAAAGAACATCCCATCTAGAAAATTACAAATTTTAAAGGGAGCAGTCGCAAAAGGGAAATCACTGATACCCCTGCTTGCTTCCCAGTTGGAACTTAGCAAAATAATCTTAAAAGGGAGACTGTTTCTCATTTACCTTTTGAAACTTAGACACTAAAAAAATCTTAAAATGTTGTTCATAATGGGGTCCAAAGTCCAGTTACTTAGGAGTTTTATAGAATGTTTTGGATACATATCAATTGATACCGTATATCAAGCGTTTAGCACAAACATACTTATTTCCTGCTCAATTTTTTTTTAATGTATTTGGTACAGGGTCTCACTATGCAGCTCAGACTCATAGTGATCCTCCTGTTTTCAGCCTCCCCAGTGCTGGGATTACAGGTGTGTGCCACCATTGGGTCTCTGTGGTCAGCTCAGCAAGCCCTGGGGTGGGGCCTGTACAGCATGGGGTGCTGGGGATTAAATTTCAGTCCCTATGCTTACCTAAGCAGGTGCTTAGTCTTGCTGAGCTATTTCTTTTCTTTTTCTTTTT